GAATGTGTGGATGCTGGAAACGCTCTGCTGGGCTGCAGCGTGCAGAAAGATGCTCTGGGACTCTGAGCTTTTAGCAAAAGTGCTTTGTTGTTTTTAACAAACAACAACCCACAACACAAATGTTTACCCTATTATTCTGCAAGACCTGCTTTTCCTTATCCATCCATCCATTTTCCGGCTGTCATTGGGCTGGAGGGGCCTTGGACAAATTTTAAATAATCAGTTGACTCAACATGCATTTTTTTTGGACTCCAGGAGAAGCAACAGTACCCAGAGACCCTCTTTGTTCATCGAGAACATAATGACTTTACACAAAGGTTCAACACGGGGTTTGATCCAGGAACCCCAATTATTAAGGGAACCCTTAATTATTGATGCTGATAATATGTATTTGCACTGCACACTGAAGTTTATTTTAGTTAACTATAGATACAGTAAACTTTATTACTATGATACAGCAGGCCTTTTAAAGATTTGTTTTTCATTTTACCAATTTTCTTTTTACAGCAAAGGTGTTAAATTTCGATGTATTTTATTATTTTCAAAGTCCCTTACATTTGTCTTTTTTTTTCTTCACCATTTTTATCACAATTGTGTTAATTAAGAACCTTTTCCTTTTCAAGATGAGTATCGGCATTGGGGCTCGAATATAGATTTGTTAGAATAGACCACGTCTACATAAAAAAATCCATCCTTAAAAAAAAAGAACAATTCTGAGCACTCGCCTTAAAAGTTAAGTGTGCGCTGCAATAAATGTGACCACAATGACTATCAGATTCAAGTTTTTTTTTGTTTTTGTTTTTTTACTTGCCTGAACTGTTATTTATCAAGGGTACAATTAGGTCTGAATATTATCATTATGGTCTTTAAAAGCTTGTACATCCTACTCACTATAAAAGTCAGCTTTTAACCTGGCATGTGGGTCTTTGATGCAAATTGAAACTATATAAACAGATAAAAGAACAGTCTCATTTTACTCATTTTCAAAGATTGAAAGTCATGGGACCCATAGAAATGAGACCCGTGGGATGATAACTCTGCCAAATGCATAAACATAACTCATCTTCCTTTACTAACACCACCTCACACATTAATTTCCTTGAGCTTGTAGGGGTGGGCTGCTGTTTTTGTTTCTCTGTTTTGTCAGACCAGAGAGTTAAGTGACTCTCTAATATTTTGATTTGTTTTACGGTCACTTGTGGCTTAGATAGCTTTGTTCTGTTTATTATTCTGCCCTTGGCCCTTTGGTTTTAACTGTAGCTAAACTGTAGATCTCTGTAAACCTGCTACATTCTAACTACATCTGTGGCTGCTAGAGCCTTGTAGACGATAGATATTAGATAGAGATAGAGATTTCATCAGTTATTTTCAATATAGATTGGCAACACAAGTATGGTTCCAATAACTTTTTTAAAACATTTTACAAAAGCTTTAGTACAAACCCATAAACATTAGTAGGCATGCTATCTCATAAACATGTAAAGACACTGAATTGAAGAGCTCACCAACTGCAATGAACTCTTTGGAGGTTAAAGGAAACCTATGTGAAGAAATTCTTACTTCTTCATAGCTTGTTACCATAGCAGTTGCCCCCAGTAATGGTCCTGTAGTCAACAAGTGCCACAGTACTCTTTATAGGAGTATCTGGTATAATGTAAACTTATCTAATTCCAGCTCAAAAAACACTAGCTACACCTATTTGTTTGGATCTATTACGGGCTGGTCATTTTCCTCTCTTTTCTTCTTCCCTTTTTTTGGAGCAGTGCCGCAATCTGGTAAATCCATAAACTTCACTTTTCTATCATTCCACCACACGAGGGAAGTTTAAACCATTTCTTTCCTTGATCATTATGAGAAGTGTGCAATCACTGCCAGATGAAAGGGACGAGACAGTGAAGAGGCAGCAGAAGTATTTGGGAGGATCATCTACATTTTCATCAAGATAAGGCAGCAGGAGCAACTCATACCCGTCTACTGAGCTTTACATCTGCAGCATATGAAGTACTGATGAGCGCCAAGTGGCGAGAAACACATCCCTCATGCTGAATTTTGAATTATTGTTGCACTCTTACTTCTGCAAGACTTCAACTTTCTAAATGCTTGACAGTGGATTTCAATGTATCTATGACAATGTCTTTTGAATACATTTGTATAGCAGTCGTGCAATCTGTTCTCAGTTTTTTTTTTAATTATATGTTCCAGTAAATCAGTTAGAGGAAGAATTCAGTAGAAGAAAACTGATGTTGACCTATTTGCCGACAGGGCAATTCCCGTCAACAAGCCAAATGTTGAACCACACTGAGGTATTATCAGCATAACAGACATAATACATTAAATGTTCTTCTGTTTTTTAGGTTTGTGGTTCACAGAAACCTTTTTGCCATCATAGAGCACACAAGGGGAAAAAAAAAAAATTCTTCCCACAGTAGAAGTGTTTTTTTTCCTTCTGTCTTGGGGCAAGTACTGCATGTTTTGCTCAGCTGAGAGTTGCACTCAAAATGAATGGTGTCAACTGTGGTCAACAGGTGTTGTTGCAAAAGAAAAAGTACAACTGCATTCATCAGTGTTCCGTACAGATGGCTATGCACAAACAAGCACAACTCACAGTTCTTTAAAGCTGTTAAGGAGGCTTTTTGCTGCTTGTGAGCAAGTGGGGGGGCACAGACCCCCTCCGCTGCCTTACTTGCAAACTGTGGTTTAGGTGAGAGACAGAAATCTCATTTTGGTTTATCTGGGTTAACTGCAAAGGCAGATAGAAACCCTCCAAGATGAAACTAACTTCACCTTACCACAGGAAAAAATACTTTTTATTTGGCTTCCAGTAAACTCAAGGGTTTAACCGAGCAACCCCTCCTCCGAGCCTCTCTCACTGATCCACTTTCACTTGTGTCTGTGCCTTCTGCACAACCACCATCTTATGGAGATTGTTTACATGCATTTAAAAAAAATGTCTGTCTATTTATTTTTCTGCTACTTTTGAGTTAGAAGGGGATCAAATGGTTTTGATCAAACAGTCACAGCCCTGAAACAGACTAAGTCTACCCTTGGGTGCACCAAAAATGGGCTCATTTCAGTATTTTCACAATACTCACTCAGTTAGTGACTTTTACATATACTTTTACTGAAACTGATAAGCCAGACATTAAATTTCAAGGATTCAGGGTGGTTTTCATTGGTTTTGTCAAGAAAAGTGAGAGTGATGGATGGAGGCCATGGGGGGGGGGGGTTGGGATAGGCCCAAGCTAAAGACCCTGACGGGTAATATATGCGGCCCTATTGTAGTGAATCAATGCACCGTGGATTAATGGAAGGGTGAGGAGGGGGGAAAGGGGCGCAGGGGAACTATGACCAGAGGTCTTCTGCTTCATGAAATGCTAAGAAACATGCTCCAGACCCCACAGTAGCAGCAAGACTTTCATCCAGTCTCAACAACAAAGTGCTCTGTCCCTTCACATCTCCTATACACATTTTTTTCTGGACCGAGGTGCCAGCCAGAGAAAAGAAACCAAGGACAAACAAGTGCGAAGACTCAACATTTTGCTACAAAGGAAGAAATACTGTGTGACAAAGTAAGAAAGGCTGCTCTGCTGACAGGTTGTGGTTAAAGTCTACGTGATTGAGAGAACCCTCATTTTTGGTGTAATAGCTGCACATCGACATCTCACCTGAACGGTTTGCTTTTTTAACAAACGTCTACAGGCCGTGAAGCGTCCGAGACAAACTAAGGTAAGAAGGTTTTTAGAAAGTACTCTGACTTGTACTGCTACTTCAAGGAAATGTGGACTTTTGGCTTCTCACATGCAGGCTGTGTGTGTGTATTTATACTTTTTTAAAAGTGAAGAAGCTTATGGAGGGCGGGGGCGCATGGGTGCTTTTTGCTTTTTTGAGCTGTGATGATGGCGAAACTTAGGAAGTTAAGAAAAAATGTATTTAAAAAAGATTGTGTAATGTGATCTATTGTCTCCAACCTCCACTCGTTTAGTTGGTTAAGAAACAAATAGAAGAAAATCTTATTCCACAGTTTTGGATCATTCAAGGAAAATAATAAAATGAATTGCTAGAGTCCTCATGATTTCGTGAGACCATGCCATTTATTTGACACCGATTTGTTGAGTTGATCCTGGCAAAGTGGAGGGGGCGCTTTGTTTCATGCCCCCCCTTGTAAAAGCAGAGGTTGTGAGAGTAAACCCCAGCTATTGAGTTTGAATGAGGATGAGAAAGAACAATAGGAAGCTCTGTACAGACATGGGTGAGAGAAAAATCTGAGCGGGGAAGTTGGGGGGTAGGAATGGGGGGGGGGATTGGGTGATGACAGAAAAGCACTCATGTATGACTGGTGCATTATCAGATTATTACACAATGTTACAGAACAGTAGGAGTCTAATTAAAATCCTCTCTCTTAACCGGTTATACTTTTTGTTGTACTTTTTGTATTAACTAGATTTCTTTACTAGATTTTCTACATCTTTTAAGCTTAGGTGAACCATTGATTGGCCGATGTTTGGATAAAGACACAATCTGTAGTTCCAGTAAACTCTACAGAGTTATTTCAGAATATGACGTTTGCTATGCGGCTTCTCTAACTCTGAACAGGGGCAATGTGACCTGCTCTACTCAGTGCATAATGCTACCGATAAGAAGAAACTGGGAGGGAAGTGGGAGGCCGACCCGTTGGTTTGTCTTCGCCTACCTTCTCCTCCTGGCTTTACCATGTATGGGCTTCCTCCCAAACTTCTGGTCTCGAGTGTTAACCCTGTCCTGGGACTCCCACACACATCAGTACATCACAGAACGGGCCATCCTCAATGTCACCCTGGAGGTTCTGCGGGGCACCACAAAACACCTGGAACTCCACACAGATGAAGGGGTAACGCATGTCGGCTCTGGATCCTTTCCTTACCGTTTTGTGAGCCTAAGCCAAAAATATGTAAATGAGAACGGAGCTGTGTAGAAACGTTGCAAGTTTGAAGCATGCAAGTGACAACTGAGGGTGGAACAAGAACATTTCATTCCTTCCCAGGACAGACTAGGCCGTGGCTTCTGGAGGGCCGTGAGGGAGGTTGTGAACTCTAATGCTGCCATGGACTTCTTGAGCTCCACCAAATCTGACCCAGTCTACCACTTTGATTCAGAACGTGTTGAAGGCTCCATTTCGATGTTAAGGCAATTCTGGACAAAGACTGTGCTGTCAGTACGGGCCAAAGAGTACCAGAGTGCCCGGTACAGCTTGGGCCAGCTGTTCCATTCTCTGCAGGTACATTCAGAAAATAGAATATAGGTTTAATATCCGTTTTCAGGCCAGCCTGAGTTCATTTTACCTCCATAAACTCAATCAGTTGAATTTCTGATTTGCTAAACTGTGCTTGAGGACGAAAACGTCGAGTTTTTTCAGTTACAATTCGTGCCAAAGCTTGCATGTATTCAAATCTAGGCATTGAAACATTTGAAATGCTCACTGAAATCATAAAGGACGTTTTCTTTTTTTCTCCATGGGTAAAAATGTCTGTTGCATCAGGATTTCTACAGCCACAGTAACTGGGTGGAGATGGGCAAAAGGTCCATTTACCTCCACCTGCTGCAGTCTGAGGAACCTGCTATCCCCGTGGCTAAGGGTAATCTTTTGACCTTTTGATTACTCTGAAGGGAATAAGCGGTAAAGATAATGGATGGATGGATGGATGGATTACTCTGAACACTTTTGGATACGTCCTTACAATCCTTTCCTGATTTGAGGGGCGGCAGCAATACCTTCTCAAAGTTCAACGATGATGTATTTTTTGCCATTGCCTCAGCTGGCAACAGACCAGCAACCTGCCCAAACTTCTGCGGGTCTAAGCTAATGCAAACAGTAGGAATGGAAACCTTGTTTTTTGATTGGATTCCTGTTTAGGTTTTGAAGACAAAAACAACACAATGTAACATGCCATGTGTTGGGAGGCCTTAGAAGGACCAAATGTTTATTATTTCACTTCCATTTTAAAATCAACACCTAAGATCAAGACTCGTGCGCTGTTATTTAAGTATGTTGTGTAATTAGTGCTGGGTTATGGCATTTTTCTATGACCTTATTCTATGAATCAAACCCTGATATTCAACTTCCTTTAACTAACAGACTTGTGTCCTTGTTTATTCCTTATGTGCCATAGTTTAATATCCATAGCTTAACTGTGTTTCTGTTCATGACATCCAGTTCCATTATTTGATGTAGATAAAATGCAGCTTTTACACACAAACAGTCGCGAAAAAAGCGAATATCGTAGCAAAGCAAAGGCCTACAGCACACAGACTCAAGGAATCAAGCAGGCAACTAAAGTGTGAAACAATACTTTGGGTTTTAAAGCTTGGAAAACCTTTCCATTTGCCTGCAGAAGACACTCCAACGTGCATGGAGTGCTTCAGCACCACGTGCCGAACCAACCTCCTGCCAGCACTGGCCAACAGGCAGGACGGCTCCCAGCTGCTGACCACTGGCTACTTCAGCAATTCCCCTCGCAAACCTAAGGGTACGACATCAGCCGCCGGCAACAGCGGGGGCTCATTCTTAAAGTTCACTTGTCTTTTACCCCCCCGATTTCAGCCCACAAATTCAGCAGAGCGGCCGTTTCTTTCGCAGGAAAGTGTAGCCATGGAGGCATGATGGACCTCAGCAGATATTTGAGTGCCAAAGGGGGGATCAACAAAGACAGCACTTCGTCACTCTTCTCCCCCCACCACTACCTCCATGTCGAAGCTGCCGCTTTGGCTACTGAGGCCACCCTGACTGTACTGAGAGACCTGAAAGACACTGTGGGCCACCGAAACTTCCTCAAGTAAGCGTTAGCCAGTGCCAGAGCAGAATATACTGACCTATAATTTCCCAAACTTATCGTGCTCCAACATTTAAATGGTCTTAGTGGATATTACGTCGGGCGTGGTGGTCAACACCATCGCCTCACAGCAAGAAGGTTCTGGGTTAAAGTCCCCGGGGGAACCAGTACCTTTCTGTGTGGAGTTTGCATGTTCTCCCTTTAGGAGTGAGTGTGTGTGGTTGTTTGTCCTTGTGTGTCTCTGTGTGGCCCTGCAATGGATTGGTGGACCGTCCAGGGTGTACCCCACCTCTCACCCATTGACTACTGGGATAGGCATCAGTCCCACATGGATACTGCGTCTCTTTGTCTACGCATGTTTTGTCACTCCAAACTTTTCGGACAGGCTCTTCAGCGTGAAGCAGGTCCCCGCTTTGGTGTTTGTCATGGACACCACGGGCAGCATGTTTGAGGAGATCACGGCGGCTCGCCTCAGAGCTCTGTCCATCATCCAGAACCGAGCCCACAGCTCCAGACAGCCTGGCACCTTCGTGCTTGTGCCATTCCATGACCCAGGTGAGAAATGTCTGTCTGAAGCTCTGGGATAATCATTTTATGGAAGTCTCTGATACGGAATTTTCCAGACGTAGATGTAAAGATGTTTTAAGGCCTGTTTTTTTTTTTTTTTTTTTAACTGAGCATCCACAAATCCCCAAAGTTCATATATTGCTGGTACCACCAAAGGTTTCCACATGCTTGGATACATGTTTAATATTTTGCGGTGTCATCATAGTTCAGCCGTGAAGAAGCATTTAAATACACGCTTCACCTAAAACACGCCACCCAGTCAAGTATGCTGCATCAGACTGAATCAGATGGAACATATATCAGTGTGACTTCAGAATTTATCTAGCTACTCCTGTCTTGTGTCATGTCATCAGTAAGCACTTGAGATGCCGTCTTTATGGAAACTGTTTGTGCCCACACAGACACATGGGTAATTCCAAATTTTCATCCATTCATTTTAATTTAGGTTGATCTGAGTTTTATTCCTGCATAAAACAGTTTTTGCGAACTTCTCTGGATCCATGACTGCTGCTTAGTAAAGTTGGAATTACATATTATTGACAGGTTTTTAATCTTTTAAAGAAGAGTCTGCTGTTACTGTATCTACCACACTGCAGGATCTTCAACATCGGTTTGTCTCTGTTTGACTCTGCAGGGGTGGGACCGGTGTACGAGGTGGAGGATCCGAACCACTTCTTGGAGCACATGGAGAGCCTGATGGCTCTGGGAGGAGGAGATGAACCAGAGATGTGTCTCTCTGCCATTCAGGTGATGCTTAACACCTCTGGCAACAAAAACCCCTACAAAGATGGATGGGTTTAATGCATGTGTTTTAGTGCATAGACAGTATTCATGGTGGCAGAGTGCTGTACAAAGTTCTGGTTAAAGTTAACTTTTTTTATTTCTTATTAATTTGTTTCCCATACAAAAGTGAGATGAAACGGCAATTTCACATAAACAGATGTTTGGTCCCTACATATCTGCAGACATGTATCAAAGAGGTGTCAAAGACGCCATTGAATACCCATAAAAAGGCCAAGACGTCAGTGTGGTTCTGGTCTGGAAACCAAAGTTGAGAGCTGTTGCATCCCACCTCCCGAGCACCCCAGAGATGATTTGCTGATATTTGTTCTCTTTCTGCCTTCTGCTTTGTAGCTGGCCCTCACACACAGTCCACCCCTGTCAGAGATCTTTGTGTTTACCGACGCCTCCCCTAAAGATGCTCATCTGTTTGATGCAGTGAAGGCCCTCGCCTTTGAGAAACAGAGCAAGGTGAGTTCACTTTCGAAAAGAGTTTTGTTTGAATAAAGATGTGCACTGGGGCAGGCTGTGCATTGGTAGGCACCGTGGGTACGCTGTGGAATCGTTTAAGTCTTCATCCGATGCTCCCGCAGATAACATTTCTCCTAACTGAAGACCCTAACTACACAAGACGGAGGAAGAGGAGACGAAAAAGGAGGAGTAAGGAGCCCCTGTCCCCGGACCGTTTCTCTCTCTACTCCTCTTTGTCCTCCTCGTCTGGAGGGCTGACCATATTTACCACCAACTCTGACATCCAGAAGGTCTCCACCATAGTAGAGGACAACACAGCTGTGGACAAGGTAGAACTATGAGACCGTTTGATGGAGAACTTTTTCTCAACCGAAAACCTTTTTGATGCTGTCCAACATGAAAATGTTAAATGAAAACATCTACAATTCATAAATCATCATAAAGGACTATTTTATTAACGATATAACAATAATATATATATAAAACATAAAAAAATTATGCCTTATCTTGAATGTCATGACTTCTTTACCTGTCAGAAAAGTTGTCACAGACACCACCGTGTCGTGCTCCATATTCTTTTAAGCACAGTCTGTAAACGTTTGAGAACTGAGACCAGCTGCTGCACCAGTCACCATTATGAATAAGAACAATGAGGATAATCATACGGGTGAATGGAATGGAGAGGATGAACAGGACAGAAGAGAACTGGAGAACTAAGTGTGAGACTGCCCAGGGTATAAACCAGGAGAACAAATTAAGAAGAAAAAAAACTTAAGAGCATAGAACCAGACGGATGAACCAAAAACACTGGAGGCTGGAAGGAAAACAAAATTTTAAAAACAAATCCCCAAAAACTTTGAGCAGTTTGAGTTTTTTTGGCTTTGGTTAAATCTCTGAAATATATAACATTTATTTCTCTGGCGTCGTTCTTTTCCCTCGTTCATCACCAGGTGACCCTCCTCCACGCAGAAAGTGATGAAGAGATTATGTCTGTCCACTCCTTCCGTGTTGACGGCTCAGTGAAAAATGTCATCCTGCGCATCACTGGCACACTGATGGAGTGCACCCTCACCAGTCCCTTAGGTAATTTCCGAAATCTATGCAGGATTATGGCAGGCTATAATCTAAAAATGACGTGAATGGAAGCCATGTACATTGTGGTTTTTACTCCGCCTCTTACCTTGCTTTATTTTTGTTTTGTTATGGGTTTATTTTATTTATTTATTCATCTTATTTGCTTCACTTCAACTGTTATTTGTAGTTGGCTTTCCTGGGTGTATAGATGCAACCAGGTTTTCTTTTTTCAAATCCTAGCATATTGTTCATTATATTTTTCCATATACTGTATGTGGGTTTTCCTCAAAATCAGGCTCAGCTCATCACTTTTGGATTAAAGTTACCTTCTCCATGCATTGTAGCGTTCTATTTTTTAAAAATTGTTATCTATCGGATTTTGTGCCTACTACTGAGCTCTTCTTTACCAGCCCACAACAGTGTAATACTGGAAGAGTTTTTTCCTTCTTTTACCTGACTCCAAGGGCACCTTTGTAACTGCAGTTTGAATTTCTTTCAAGTTGAATAATGCTTACAGTACAAACCCAAGGGCTCTCAATCTGCTTCTCATCTCATCCTGAACTTGATAAAAACGAGTCCAACTGTCTGTTTTCTCCCTCTTGTCAGACCAAAGTCAGTCCCTGCTGAGGGAGACTGGCCCGCTGGCTGAGTTGGAGCACTTCGAGGGTCTGTACCGCATCAGGCTGCTCCTTCCCATAGAACCTGGCCAGTGGAGCCTTCACACAAAGAGTGAAGAACACCTCACATTCGATGTAATAGGTAAAAGAAAGAGAGATTTGCAGTCACTGATCATGTTTGTTTCGGTCTAATGAGTTTTCTGCGTACTGACCACAAGAACATTTGTCTTCTGATCTGATCCACCAGCGGACAGCAGCGTAGATTTCCTGTATTACTTTGCCACTGTGAGCAATGAAACACACCCGGGTCTGGCCAGAGTAGAGGGCAGTCCTGTAGCAGGTGCAGAATAACTTTTTTTTCTTTCATTTGACACACCAATATTGTGATATTGACTCTCTTTCTTGGGACTTCACCATTTAGTGTTACCCTTTTATTTCCAGGTGGCCCGGCCTTTCTGGTCCTGGCTGTTACAGGCCTGGCCTCCAGTAAGAAGGTGTCCTTCAGCCACGCAACGCTGCTCGGGTCTGAGGGAGAAAGCCTTCTACAGGTGAAGCTGAATAAATCGTCCTCCTCACCGTTTCATGCCTTGGAGGAGCTTGTGGGCTTGGTGGACTCTGTCCCCACAGTTCCCTTCTGTATCCAACTTACAGGCCAAGACAGCGCCGGAAACAAGCTGGAGAGAGTTTCCACTGAGATGGTTCAGCCCACTCATGTTCAGATACAGGTACATAGATACAAGCAGTTCATTCAAGAAACTTTATAAAGTCATAAATATATCCTTATGTGGGGTGAAGACATCAGTAAGATATGTTATCTCTTTAAGTGTAGTAGGCTAATGGCATAATCCCAACCCTATTTTCTTACCAGCACCTCTCTCTTGGAGGTTGGAGACTTTACAGGAGAGTCCAACTTTCTAAATTGACTAGTTGTATTTATGGACCTAGAACTTAACAGATGCATGTCTCTTTTATAATTGTATAAGAGCAGATTCCTCTTGACTCCACCAATCAGCACTAAAGTTAGCTGATTCTTCCTCCATATGTAACTTAAAAGGAAACTAGAAACCAGAAAAACAACTCACAGTGAAGTTATTTAATAACGAAATTATCGGTAATTATCAAACATACACTTATGAGTAAAAAAGACGACTAATCACATTCTAAGTCCATCAAGGGTCAAAACATTTTTTATCCGAGTTTAAAAGTTTCTCTTTAAGTGAGTTTGTGTGAGGTTGTCAGTGTAATTGATGCGGTAGATGTCAAAGTGCTCTAAGTTTAAGTAAAACCACCAGTTTTCCAGATGGGGGAGATTCAGACAGACAGTTGTTTCATTTGTCACCACACTCATGTTGCAAAACCTTCCACCAGGTGTTCCAAAATATTCCGCATCATGGATATGAGCTGTTTGAGATGGCAAACATTTAGCTCCTATGGTGGGTCTCTTTCATGTGGACTGATGACTCCTGGTGGACTGTTAGGTAGTCATCTGATTTTCTGAGAGTGTACATACAGCAGAGTGGATGTGAAACCGCTCATGATGGCCACATACTATCGGGAAAAGAATAAAACCCATTTATCTTTAAAGATTTGTACGGAACTAAAATTTAATGTAAATCTGCAAAATAAGGAGAAGATGAGGATGCAATTTGTGGCTTTTTTGATAGAAAGAGACTAAATCCGCTCCCGAGGCAGGAATGAACCAAAACCACAGCTCAAAGAGAACAAAAATAGGGGGAAAAAGCAACTTATGGATCAACGAGAATAACGCAAGAGGGAACGTAAAGTCAAACTAAAGAAAACCAGCACACAAAAACCATGGACCAAGAAAACGGCACTTTTACTAGAGTGATCTGTTTGATTTTATACAGGTGGTGTCATTCCCACGCCTTGTGCCAGGTCACAGTACAAAAGTGGACTTTGACATCCTGAACCACGGTCCAGCTCGACCCTTCGATTTAACTGCAGATGACGACTGCGGATATCTTCAGTCACGAGGACCACACAGGTAAAGGAAATAGTCCCGAAATGGATATTAAGCTCCCTCTCTTTAGAGATGTACACTTTTTTTCTACACTTTTACCCTTTCATGCATAGTGGTCACTGCAGTGGACAGCCATTTAAAAGCCATATTCTTGTGTATATTTGTAGGTTTTTATGTTTTAAAGGGGCATAGGCCACTGAAGTGGACACTGGTGAATCATGCAATAAAAATAACAATTGTCCACAATAATTGACTGTGAAAGAGAAGCTGAGATAGACTAAAATAAATCAAGGGGTTGAATGAGAGGGACGGAGAAAAGGGATGAGATAGAAATGAATATTAGAATAGGATGAGAGCTGCATGCAAAGTTCTGTTAACAAAAGTCAAAATGTTCCTTATTGTAACATACAGTATCTGATTAGTAAGAAATCTTAAGATGTATGCTGTCCAGTTATGTGGACTTTTGGACAAATCCTCAAATAGGTTTTTGAACATATTTCACGCCTTAAGAAAATGAAAAACCCAGACTGAAATGATCCTAATTCGTGCATGAAAAGGTTAAAAAAAAATCAGATTTAAAAAATGCTGTGTGGACAGAGTTTTTTGTTTGTAAAGTTGAAGTTGTCCCTTAGGTTCCATGTAGAGGAAAACGGGTCTTTCCGTGGTCAGGTGTACCTCCTGACTCCGTCCACAGCCCAGGCGGGAGCGACGGTCACCCTCACGCTCACCGTGCATGCCCTGAACTCTCCGGAATCCAACTATGCTGTGGCCTACTTGACTGTGGTCCCACCGGTAAGTACCAGCAGGAAGCTGCTGGAGGGTCCAGGTGCCGTCCTCTCCTGCGTTGACCCTCTCTCCCTGGCCTACAGGACCCTGACACCTCCCCGCCATCCTGCTCTGCCGCGCGGGCCGTCGCCGACTGCTCTGCCCTTTGCGAGGAGTCCAGCTGGAACGTGTCTCTGGTGGTGTACGACAATGGCCGCTCCGGCCTCTCCGACGTCCAGCTCCAGAAGGGCGGAGGTGTCCTGACTTTATTTCACCGCCCCCCGTCCTCAGAGCACGGCGCCGGGGCCGGTGGAGGCCGCCGCCAGCGCCCTGCTCACCGCCACCAAGCCAGGCTGAGGGCAGGGGACCCCCCCCTGAACATTTCTGAATGGGCGCTGGGCCTCTCACAGCCACTGTGGGTGACCTACACATCCAGCTGCTGCCACTCCCAGGCAGAGATGCTGGTGTGGGACACGGCTGGAAACATGAAACGCTGCCATCTAACGTCTGGCCTGCGGAGGAGGCTAACGGACAGGAGCACAGAAAGCAGTGGGGCCGGACGATTGACCGCCCCAGGCCCCCTTTTCCTGTTGGTGGGCCTGCTGTGGGCCACACCGACGTGGAGGATTTTCACAGAAATCAACCAATGATCGAATGAGGAATTAGTCCTGGTTTTGAGGATAATGTTTGAAAAAAATGGCACTTATTGTAAAGAGATGTTGATATTGCATAAATTTGCCAATGTACATTTTGAAATGCACTGAATTAAAGAGGAATTAATCCAAGTCTAGATTTTCCCCTCAATTCTGAACTGTTTCAGTGAAACTCGTTTCCTTGAATCCAAACAATGTGCAACTGAGCTAACTATCCTGATCTCCATTTTTTTTTCTTTGTAAATTCATCTCCATGCAAGAGATGATTTACATTTTCTTTCAAAACTGATTAACTCTTTTGGCAGTTGCACATTACATGACAGAATTTGTGGTGGGCCGCTGGGCACCGCGGAGAGCAGTCAAGAGGAGGATTTGGTCCAGCGTAAGCTTGTGGGTATGGTGGACAGAACATGTGCCCAAAAACACCGGCAAGCAGAGATGGAGGAGAGAGGACACTGGGGGAGTAAGGTGGAGTTCCTCCTGGCCGTGGCTGGAAATGTCGTTGGCCTCGGAAACGTGTGGAGGTTTCCGTACCTCTGCTACAAAAACGGAGGGGGTAAGCTACTACAATGACAGAATGGGACACTGAAATTCTCAGTTTGAGTTCATCAAATTCTGTTGGTTTTACTTCCTACTAAATCAAACTAACACTTCTTGTATAGATTCACCCATGATAAGTCAGACAATGTTTTAAAAAATGCTACAAATCGATCTATAAACAGGTGCCGTGTGGAAATAGAGTGGATGTTTAAATGAAGAGTTAATGACATAAAATTATTTTAGATCCTACTATATTTTTTCTTACTCGAGGGGATTCTTGATCAGTTGTTTTTGGGCTTTTCAAAGGAGTGTAAATGCCCAAAACATAATCAGTAAATGCTGCCTTTTGAGCAACTGGAAACAGCTACATTTCAACCATCCAAACAGGCACTCCGCGCTGCTTTCGGCCAGCCGGTGGTCCAAAGTGCAGCATTTCTCAGTTTGCTCCTGATTGATGATTTTCAAAGGAGCATTTCAAGTGCTGGTAAGTGTTTTGTGTTGCGACAGGAAGGCAGTCGCTGGATATGTGGCTGAGTTTAAGTTTGGTTTGTTGAGTCTGTCAACGCTGTAACGCTACTCAACAAACCCAACAAAACCCAACCAACCACCGGGGAGGAAAAGGAAAAGATCTCCCCAAACCTCCTCAAGCTTAGAGGAGAGCACAGCTACTGAATTGTCATCACAATGAGTGTTATAAAGCAACAATTTCGATTAAAGTTAAAACATTTACCGTATACGATTAAGACCAACTCAATTTACAATCCTGCAGTAATGATCCTCGCAATTTCCAATTAAGAGCAAACAATTGTTACAAGTGTTTCTTTTTGTGATGTAAACAGGTGCGAGAAACCGAGCTAGCTTCATCATTCGGGTCCAAATGAGAGCAGATGATTTCAGCACCTAAAGTGCAACGAGCAGTTATGAAACGCAGCCGTTTCCATCGGGAGTCTTACTGTGAAAGCGTGAGTCTGGAGAAGATTGAGGTTATATTCTGAACATGCAGGTGCCTTCCTGGTGCCGTACCTGGTGTTTGTGGTGACCTGTGGAGTGCCTCTGTTCCTGCTGGAGACAGCGATGGGCCAGTACACCCAGGAGGGGGGCGTCACGTGCTGGAGGAAGCTGTGCCCGCTGGCAGAAGGTGGACATTGCGTCTTTCAAATCAGGCTGTGATCTTCTTGCTCTTCTTCTTCTTCTTGCTCGGAGTCCATAGACCGGAATTTTTCTATACATCTGCTGCCCGGCATTGCGTTAAATGCTTCGTTAACGGCTGAAATCTTTATGTGTGGTCACAGTTGAGAGAAGAAAAATGCACAATTCATAGTTGTAGTGTTTGAGCATGTTTGCTTTAAAGATAATCTATTTGATTTTATCATGTTGTCACACACACACACATATATATATTATTGATACACTTATTAGGTCCTCAAAGTTACCCTTCAATCTCAACAGCGAGCAGCCTGGCTAATGTATAAATGGGCTTTTCCCTTTGTGTGCCTCTAGCAGCGATTGATAAGTCTTGCTCTGCAGGTATTGGTTACGGCGGGCAGCTTATCCTCCTCTACAGCTGCATGACCTACATCATCATCCTGGCCTGGGCCCTGCTCTACCTCGTCTTCTCCTTCAGTGCGCAGCTCCCGTGGGCCAGCTGCAGCAACCACTGGAACACAGGTACGGTCAAACGTAGGATGAGGTGTTGTCGTCAAAATCTTCACCGCTCTCAGATCACAGACCGTTTGCTTTTCCGCCCTTCGCTCAGATGACTGCGTAGACTTTTCGACAGGGAACGACACTTTCCAGTCGGCCAACAGGACCAACTCTTCCTCCGCCGCCACAGAATTCTGGGAGTAAGTGTTAAGCGTGGATGAACTGGCCTTTAGGACTTCTCTTCAAGTTCCATATTGCTATAATTCGATGCTATGCGTTGCTGATTAAAAGAATCCTCAATGAAAGGCCTTAAAGCGGTGTGATTTTCCCTCCAGACGGCGAGTGCTGGCCATCTCAGGGGGGATTGAAGAGATAGGCAGCATCAGGTGGGAGGTTCTGTTGTGTCTTATCGTTATGTGGGTCATCTGCTACTTCTGCATCTGGAAAGGGGTCAAATCCACAGGAAAGGTATTTCTATAAACCGCTGGCCGTAAAAGACGTGCGGGGAAAAAAGGGTTCTTTATCAAATGTGTTTTTTGTTTTTTCCAGGTGGTTTATTTCACTGCCACCTTCCCCTATGTGATGCTGATCGTCCTTTTGATCCGGGGACTCTGTCTCCCTGGTGCTCTTCAAGGAGTTGTGTTCTATCTTCTGCCCGATCCGTCGCGGCTCACGGATCCCCAGGTATGAGCTCAACAGAGGGTGGCGGGGGGGGGAATACGGGTGGACAAACCGACCCACCGTGGCTGTGTTGGGACAGGTGTGGATGGAGGCCGGGGCTCAGATCTTCTTCTCCTACAGCATCGGCGTGGGCTCCCTGACTGTGCTCGGCAGCTACAACCGACACGACAACAACTGCTACAGGTAAGTGCGGGCTTTTCGGGCCCGAATGCAACTGTCCCCCCCCCCCCCTTTTGGAGGCCCGAGCGGAGGCGAATGAGCCCGGGGTGTGAACGCTTTGCAGGGACTGCCTGTGGCTGTGCCTGCTGAACAGCGGCACCAGTGTGGTGGCCGGGTTCGCCGTCTTCTCTGTGCTGGGATTCATGGCTCACGAGCAGGGCGTCCCCATTGCGGAAGTGGCAGAGTCAGGTGCGTAGGAAATATCCCATCCACCCCTTTATCCTTGAGCTGGCGCACAGGATTTCTAATCTTGCGAAATCATTACAAGGGGCTATGATTTGAACCCAAAACGTGCCATTCGTAGACCTAACCGAAAGGTTGCCCAAACTTGACTGAATATCTCAATTTCTTCCATCTGTCTGACCTGTTCTTGCCTAATATTACCAATTAAAAAAGAGGTTCACTCTTTAGCTTGTTAAGGCATGTTGAAGGTGTGCCAAAAACAATCACCCTGACAAAAAACTGGAGTAATGTAATGATGAATTTAAACTTTGCTGCCATCTTGTGGACAAGAAGGCACAAAACGAGTTCCTAAACGGTTTTCTCAGCTCTAAGCATTCTGAACCAGGCTGTGTTGCTTGTGCAGCTGTTGCATTGCATGCATTTCTGATTTATGAACGTCACGGCGGTCTAATAGCATTGATCCGAGTGGTATTCCGTCTCCTTTCGCATCACACAGATCTATTTTTCTTGTCCCACGGTCAGCGAAAACTGGGAGCAAACAGTGTCAAATAAAATTTGCCTCTCAGTGCCGTTCGACACGAGTCTTAAGCAGATGGTGGAAGGAGATTGGTCTCGCATCACTGTGAAGTTGTTTTCCAGGTCCAGGCTTGGCGTTCATCGCGTACCCTCAGGCCGTAGCTATGATGCCTCTGCCCCAACTGTGGTCCATCTGCTTCTTTGTCATGCTCATTCTTTTGGGTCTGGACACACAAGTGAGATACTTGAGCAGATGAACTGTTTTCAGAGGGCTGCGTTCACGTTTTGAAATGTATTTCTTTGCTTGTTCCCCTCACAGTTTGTTGCCATGGAGGTGGTGATGACCTCCATCATAGACATGTTTCCCAGAGTGATGCGCAGGGCAGGCCGACGGGAGAGTTTCCTCCTCCTCTTCTGCCTGATCTGCTTCTTCTCTCAGCTCGTCATGATCACCGAAGTCCGTGGTTAATGTTATATCAGCATTTATTATTTACTCATCCAATATGGGAAAGCATTTCCTGCCAATTCTTCATTTTTTTCTATCATCAAACCCTTCCTGAAACTTTGTTACAATGGGAAAAAAAGGATAATGTTGGCTGACATCCAATGACAGATCTGAGGAAGAAACACATCAATCAATAGAAGTAACACATAAAACGATCGAGAACAAAAACCTCTGCTGTTTTTCTCCCAGGGAGGCATGTATGTGTTTCAGATGTTCGACTACTATGCGTGTAACGGGGCCTGCATCCTCTTTCTCTGTGTGTTTGAAACTCTGGCCATGGGATGGGCATTTGGTATGTATGCTGGTATTCAGGAAATGGTCTATTTCTCGGATAGTGTGTATTTGAACATTTTTCTGGCTTTGTAACCATCTGTTTTTTTTTTAGCAAGCTTAGAGCTTATTCATGCCCACACACTGACGGCAGTATGTGGAAATAAATCGCTCAAATAAATTGCTCATGCAGCAACGAGGTCTGATCTGATTATCTAATCCGCTCTGGCCTCTGTTCAAGGGGCCGATCGGCTGTATGGAATAATAAAAGACATGACAGGGGAGCGCGCCAACCCCTTCTTCAAAGTGTGCTGGCTCTACCTCACGCCGCTGGTGTCACTGGTGGGCCGTCGTTCACACAGTCAGAATCCACGCAGCTGCAGGTGGAAGCCGGGGACCACTCATCCCGGCACGTCTCCTTTTGTCTTCTCAGGGATCTTTTATATGCTCTTTAGTCAAGTACCAGCCCCTGACGTTTAACCGCTGGTACGTGTACCCGTCCTGGGCCTACGCGCTGGGCTGGGTGATGGCCCTCTCCTCCATCCTGCTCGTGCCCGGATGGGCGCTGTACAAACTGGGTACCAGCACTGGGACGCTCAGACAGGTGGGACAGCTTTTAAAATGACTTACTTTGATTCTTATGATTTACTTTCAATCTTATATCCATTACATCCATTTTCGTAAATGCTTATTCCCTAATGGGGTTGCGGGGGGCGGGGACTGGAGCCTAACCCAGTGGTCAGTGGGCGAGAGGTGGGGTACACCCTGGATGGTCCACAAGTCCATTGCAGGGCCACACAGAGACACACAAGGACCAACAATCACTCCTAAGGGCAATTTGGAATGTCCAATCAACTTAACATGCAGGTTTTTGGACTGTGGGAGGAAGCCGGAGAACCCACGCAGACATAGGGAGAACATGCAAACTCCACACAGAAAGGTCCTGGTTCCCCCGGGGACTCAAACCCACAACCCTCTAGGTGTGAGGCGATGGTGCTGACAACCGCACCACCGTGCCTCCTTCAGTTTTATATATTATCTCAAAATGCATTGGGGTTTTTTTGGGGGGTGGGATAACTCTGTGCGCTTTAAGATAATGGGGCACTCTCTGCTCTGACTCTGTCCAGCGCTTCCATGGCCTGTGCTGCCCTGCTCCCGATAGCTCACTGACCGGAAAGGGAGCCGCAGAGCTGCAGAACATGGGAGCTGAACTCCTGCACCCATTCCGTGCCAACCAAGAGGAAAGATCACATGGACCTGAAAACCTTCTATAGTATACAAATCAAACACACCAACCAGTATATCGGCGTGTGAGAAGGCAAGTCAGTTTACCCAAGTACTCCAACTATGGATTCAGCTGTTTGTGGCTTTTTTTTTTTCCTGTCAGTTTCCCATTCTGTATGTAAGAAGGATAGAAACAGAATTTAAACCGAATGATCTGAATGAATAGTTGTAACTTTATGTGTTATACCAAAATCAAATATTAAAATGAGATACCTAGATAAGACTCCTCAGGTTTATCCACAGGGTTTCCTTTCTCTCAGAACCAGGACAAGATCGACATCACATAAATAAGTCTTAACCTTTGAAAACATTACAGGTCATTACGTTCGAAGAATGATTTGGTGTGAACCCAAGACACTCAAAAAAAGTTAAATAAATACACAACTCAGTGTTTTTTTATTTAATACACTTTATTTAAATAGCTTAATGTTCTGAAAAATACACCGTATAAACAACTTGAGATTTCACAGATATGTGCATGGCCGGCAGTGCAATTCATCATCTGCATGAGCACAACCAATCAGAGGAGACCCCCCCACACGCACAAGGAGAGTGAAACCCACTTAGTCACACACAAAAACACGGGCACACTTTCAAATCAACACAAAGGTTTCGCACACGGACGAAATAAATGACCGAATAACACAGACGAAAAGGGAGAACTGATGCCATAAGAATCCCCAAATGGACTTGCTGTGCGAGAGAATCAGGTTCAACCCATTTCTGTGTTTCACACTGTGCTGGAAATGCTTTAAAAATGGTTATTGAAAAGAATCAGAGTGGAAATCCAACTGACCGGTGGAGCGCATTTAGTGCAAATAGCGTTTCAGGGGTTTTTTTTGGGAGGGGTTGCTTTTTAAGGAATCTTTTGCTTTCTCCTGGTTTTAGCTTTTAAGGCACTGGCGTTTGTCTTAGGTAAAGGGAAAACCACTTGTCTCAACAAATAGGTCCGACACAGTAACGCAGTGCTCTGAACCCATAGGAAACCGGCTTCCTCTCAGAGAACGTTTCAAAGGGTTCCGTCGACCTGAGGAGACGTTTGGGGCGACTTGTTCGGGACCTGATCAAACTGCTAATGAACAAAACATTTAGAAAAACACACACGCTCTTTAACCACAGCGCCTTGTAAAAATGATTCACCCTCTTGAGATTTTACAGACTGCGTTGCATTCTAATTCATTTAAATTCATATGGATATGCTGGGGAATGTTACAAAAGGTGTAAAGCAAAAACAAAAAAAGTAAAATAAAAAGGCCAAAAAATACTGAGACATAAAAACACCAGAGTAACAAAAGTCTTTTGAATAAAACTGAACCCTGGTGCTCTCTTTGGAGCCACTCTGGGATGATGAGGGCCGTCTGGGTGAAGGGCTGTGTGAAGGCACCGGGTCTGTGGCTGGGGACGAGGGCGGGGGCACGCCAACTGGCTCTGCTGGGATGCAGACCTGAGCAAACACTGCTGACGCCGTGGCCGCGGTCAGTGCTTGATTCTGTAAAGCTGCTGGACTGGCTGGTGTCCAGCAACGCCCCCCACGTCTGAAATGAGGGCACCTGTGGCCTGAGAAAGCTCCCGCCACCTGAGGCTGTGATGGGGGCTGTGAAAAGGTCCCGGAGTCACAACACTGCTGATAGCTGAATATCCCTGGAATCAGCATCAAATCCATATTACGTAGAAAGAAATGGGACCTCCAGCAAAACTTGAAAGAACAAAAACAAAACAAACACCTCTTAGACCAGATAAATGGCACACAACAGAAAAAAAAAAAGTCTAGTTTTACTTTAAGGTAGCAAAGGCGACGGGACAGGAAACTCTCCAGAGAAGGTGACTGCTTTTGCAGGGCTCTGTAACCATGGCTACAGGCCCACCCGGGGAAGGCACGGCAGACTGTGCTAACCAGTAGAACTGTCCGGAGACATGAAAGGGACTTTGTCTGAGGGCTTATCGCCTTGCTGTAAGTGAGAGTGCTCCAGCATGGAGGCGAGGAGGCAAGATGGCGGCGCCTCCGAGCTGTCGGCAGATGGCGGTCTGCTGGCGCCACCCGCGGGGAAACCTTCTGGCCGACTCACCAGACCCAGGAGCCACGGGCTCTCTGCTGGGGGCCGGATCTGGAGGTCGGGGTAGCTGCCCGACTCGGCCATGGCGTGGTGCAGGCGCTCCCAGGCGGCGCCGGGGCGGCGGGCGGGGCTGCGGGCGGCCTGCCACAGCAGCTGGGTGTGCTGGCGCAGCTGGCTGATGTCCCGCTCGGTGGCGTTGCTCTGGCGCAGCAGCTCTTTGGTGCGCAGCGTGATGTCCAGCAGGCCCGACTGCCGCAGGATCTCCACCGTGTTCAGGAAGCGGCGGTGGCGAGCGCCGGCGCTCCTGGGGGCAGCGGGAGAGGACGTGGAGGGAGATCTCAGGTCTGGGGCAGGGGCAGTGGGCACAGGGGGGGTCAGACAGGAGGCAGCTGGTGAGCAGCCCGACGGGCCCGGCTGTGAGGCTGACCCTCTGGGCTGCCTCAGGAGGAGCTGCTCTGGCCGGCCCCTGCTGGCGGGCGCCTCCCCGGCGCCGTGCTCGGTGCACACCCTCTTGCTCTGGTACTCCTGGCTGGACGTGGACTTGTCGGGCGGCTTCTTGCTGGGGTGGGGCGCGATGCGGGGGTAGGAGTTGAGTATGGGCAGGTAGGTGCCGCTCGCCCGCTTCTCCTTGGCGTTGGAAGGCTTGGGCGGGGGCCGGCGGTGGCGGGGAGCCGCGGCGGCGGCGGGCAGGAGGCCGGGCTGCTCGAAGAGGATCATGTGTGGAGACTGACTGCTTATCCTGACGCCGCTGGTCCACAGCAGCTGCCCTCCCTTCTCCATCAGGGCCGGCTGCTGCAATGAGGAGGCAACATTATGAAGAACCTCTGCCTTTAGAATCAGAATTGGAAATACTTTACTTTTAATAGTCTCTGTTTTAGAGGCACCAGTGACGTCTGCCTCCTCCTACACCGCCTTTACCTGCTTCAGCACCATGTCTTTGATGATGTAGATGGGCGGGTGGCTCAGCTTGGCGGGCATCGTGCCGGGATGGCCGAAATTCTTTGGACCGGCTTCTTCTTTCTGGCCCGCTGGCGACGCTCCAGCGGATTGGCCGGCGGCTTTGGACTGGTGTCTGTTGCGCCGCTGGTCCTCAACATCTGTCTGCTGCCAGTCGGAACCATCTGTGGGGGAAAACGGAGCAGAAAAACCGCAGAGAAGCTCAGTACAGCTGCCATTCTGCCTCGGGACGTTATTAAATGCACTCATACGGCTGCATTTCATAGCTGTCCATGTTTTAGCATTTCTCATCATTTACTGAAAACTAATGCTTCCCAGTGCTGCTTAACTCATTGACTGCCAAAGACGCAAGTCGAGGAAGAACGGAATAAGGTAGAAACAAAAGATTTTTCCTGATGAAAGAAGAGAGTCTACTCTTTCTTTTGGTGTGTTCGGTGTTTACATAGTCATAGCACAAACTATTCTGTGGCTCTTGAAAAATCAGTCAAAATGCTCAAAAAACTCTGGCAGTATGGGACTCTCTGTTCTGAAAATGGCTGGCAGTCAATGAGTTAATGAGGCCTGCCTTCATTGTAAAATGTGATTTGTCGCATTGACTAAATCACACACTGGTTAGATTTTCTAAATGAGGAGGATTCAGCTAAAATGTTGCTGTCACACATGATCGACGGGCTCCCTTTTTGTTGGGTAAGGTTTTGTGCATACAAAAGGATTCCAGGAAAGTAAAAGAAATACTGAATGAGCACAAGCAGCTTTTTAAATATGGCTTACAAAAACTAAACCTTGTTCCTTCGCATTGCGGCTAAAGCCAACAAAGACTGGTTAAATAGGCACACCTCAAGTTCCAAACTGCGCACACCAGCAAGAAGCCCAGAGGGCCACAACACATCTCCTCCTCCTGCTCCTGCTGTGCATGCAGAAGCGTAATGATGGATGTCGTAGTGGACTTGTGTTGGAGACATTATCGGTGTGGCGGTGCTCTGCGGCTGTTATGTCAGCCTCTTATGTCAGACCCTCAGGAACGGTTCCAGCATCCCCGCTGTGCGGCTCTGTGGGGTCACCCTGCAAATCACCAGCTTATACGCAGGCGGATCCAGCAGTTTCTGCTCTCTCTGAGCTTAAAACTACAATGAAAAAGAGGCAATTACGGGGCATGCAGGAGCATTTACCCCCCTGCGGCGTTTTGCCCCCCCCCCCCCCCTTGAAATCTGTAATTGGATGGTTTCATTTCTACTTTATGGCATAGGAAAGGCGTCTCGAATGGAAATTTTCAGAACAATGAAGAACAAAACTGGGTCTGATGCTTCTTGTTACTGTGGGGAGGTGTCACATGATCTCAGATCCCCAATGTCTGACACCTCACATGTCCAAGCACCAATAAATGAGCCAGAGCATGAAGTCCAATGCGCCCAGAAAAAAGCCTGTTTGGCGTTTTTAGTCTAGGGCAGAGGGTCAGCTTGCAGCAGGACCACAATGCTACTAAGTTGTTGGCATGTTTGGGCAACTAAATGATCAAATAAAAACACAAACACCCTTTTAATTCCAGGGTTTAAGGCAACAAAGTAGGAGAAAAGGCCAAATGGCTGAGAGAGCGACCAACAGCTGCAGTTTTACAGCTTCAAGAGAGGCCAAATTGGAAGACAGCAGCCTGTGTTGCAGCTTCATCAGATCTGTCTGCTGTTGAAGGAGAGGGAGCTCTCTGTCGTGGACCGTGCCAAGACGTTTACACTGGGGTCTGGCTCAAACCGTTTCTGTCTCATCACAAAACCAACCTCTCGTGACGAATTCAGGCACATAAATGAATATATTGCAGTTAGAATATCAATGTGTTGAGAATTTGTAAAACTTGTATCGGGTGTTTCAAATGACAGATGAAAAAACCCCAGAGCTACCACAAACATTTGACAAACGGCCCCTTTGTAGTTGCACAGAGATATCTGTGTCCATGGCTCTCAGACTCTGTAAAAAAGGACGATTCTACGTTACATAACAGTGCAGACAAGACCTTTCGGTCCTCAAAAAAAAAAAGACTATCCGCCTGAAGCCGTCAGGACAGACACCAGGCACAGGCTGGATGCTGATTGGCTGAAGGTTGGCTTGAGCAGGGAGCAGTGACAAAATTCCTAACTAGTATAGAAAGCGCCAAAATGATAAGCAGCAAAGAATTCTGGTAAAAGCCAATATATAAGGACCATCCAAATACTGTTTTGGCATGGACCCCAAATTAGTCCCTACCCTTGGCATTTTCAATTCTTTGACACATCACTCTTGTGCTTCTCCTTGCTCATTCAGCAACTCACAGGTTTGGGTATACAGTAGAAAAGTCACTAAGCCTCATATGTAACATGCCTTCTGTGCAGAACTGTACACAGCCTCTATGTGTGTTCACTAAGGAAGGAGGGGCCAGCAGTGTGTGAGACTGTGCATGTGAGCATGGCAGGAGTCGATAGCTCAGGGAAGCCAACACTGGGAGTGTATACCATGCATATATTTGTCAGAAAAGTACAACAAAGTGACTGTATGTTAGAAACCGAGACTGCTGTGGATGAACAGATTAAATGAATGTGATAGAAAGCCTCAAGCAAGAGAAATTCCCTGCTGTTAAGGTGTGCTGGCACACTTTCAATACTTATAGTAAATGTTTAGTAGAAAGTAATAAAAATGAAAATGTTTAGAATTCTCAAGGGACACAGTTCAAAGTGGGTCTCTCCCCCAGTATGGGGCTGTTGTATGTTGACGACGTTCTTCTGTCTAAAATAGGGAGACTTTGCCAAAAAGCCGAGTTTTTTAAAAAACATTCTATGCATGTGATTCTGAACTCTTTCAAAGTACACTGATCCCCATCTCTGAGTTTGACATCCTTTGGACCACAGATTAGGGATGTCCCGATCCAGCTTTTTGCACTTCCGATCTGACACCGATACCAATACCGGCCTATCAGAGCATGTTTTAAAGTTATTTAGCCTACTTACTTAGTTGTCAGACTCATGTTGAATAGGGATTTACTCTTATAACAACTTAATAGTTAGGACACAAACCTGTGGGTTAGGAGATGCTAATGCTCGTGTGGGATCGGACTGGATCGGGAGTCTGAATCGGCATGTTCTCATGCCGGCCGACACGCATTTTTTTGCAAATATCGGTGGCCAATCCAATCCAAATAATGGATCGGGACAAGCCTACCACAGATTAGCACAGTTCATGACTTCTGCACAGTCCAAGTGCGCAGTTTTGACAGCTGTATGCATCCACTTCAACATGACAACAAATTTGTGCATACACTTGGAGGACTCACTCAGAAAAAAACATAACGGTGCACACAAAACAGGTTGTCAAACCTTTTATGTGTGCACCATTTGTTTTCATTACATTCCTACAACAGAGCCTGTGCGAACCTTTCTTGAAACGTACAAACGTGAAAGTACTTAGCCTCGGGTTGCTTTGCAACATTCACCGCAGACATTTAAACTCACCAGAATAACCGGAGTCCTTTTCTGAGCTGCAGCTGGAGCCTCTTCTGTAGGAATCATCTGCACCTTTAGAGTCACGTAACGCTTGCAGAGTTGTACTGTTGCTCTTATCTTTAGCATTCTTACTGGATGGAGGGCAGGGACTGTGCTCGCTCAAGCAAGCCTTTTCTTTCGGCATGATGGGCCCTAAAGATTGGTGGTATTTAGACTGCCCCTGCAAGAGAAGTAAGAGAAAAACAAAAACAAATGCCACCTCTACATAAGATTGCAAACAAGAGCACTAACCGACCTGCTTTATGCTTTGCAAATAGTCCACTGCATGCTGGAATGAAGTTAAACACCTGACTTACACAGGAAAACACAGAGGAGTATTGTACAAGCTAAAGTGTGTTTAGGATAGATATATTGCTACATGTGTCTTCGATGTGCTATTAAACATACAGGAAAATAAAGTAAGACCAGAGCAGATTAAGTGACCTTGGGTTAATTCATGTCTCTTATTCAGCAGCGAGTATTTTGTTTAGAATGATCTCTCCAATACAGGGTTTTCAGTCATTTTCCTGGGTCTTTATTGGACTGCGTGGCTGATTACACAACAGCTTTGACTATTTTGGTGATATCCCACCCCCCCTTACAAATCCACAAAAGCTCACCCTCACGGTTGCCTTAGGGGTTGTCACCGTGGCAACTTGCAAATGCATACCGCCTTGCAGACAGCATACTACCTATTAATAACTGCACCAAACTGATGCACAAACTGCATTTATATAGGCATAGTGTGGAGTTTAACATCCAGACAACAATGGCAGTAAAACCTGAACCTCAAACCCACAGTGGACCCAGAACTACTTATATCATGAGGACAATATCAGTGGCACTTAAAATCGTGACAATTTGTTTCACTACTCTGATTTTATACAATAAAATATTTAAATCTAATGTGAACCCAGTGATTGATTGTGCACAGCCTTATTAGAACTTTGTGTAAATTGAAGTTCAAGTAAGACATAGATAGAAAAGATTCACCTAATCTTAAAAAAGACTTTCAAGGGTATACCAGGCAAATGTCTTAAGATGTTTGTGTCTGCAAAGGGTCTAGCTAACTCTTTAACTAGTCTTTTTATGTGCTTGGTAACATTAAAGGTTCTGGAAGAACGTGGAAGGAACGTTAACGTCTAGCTACACATTAGGATTCCGCTTTTCTTTTCGGAAACATTTTTAAAAGTAGCATTTTAACTCGTACTTCAGTGCTGCTATAGTATAGAACTATATGCACACAATTTCCCGGTGCGTGTGATCAGTTCGAAGCCAGCGGTTCCTTGAAGGCATCACGGCTCACAGCTCATCAGCGGCACCCTACCCCCCCTCTATTATGTAACAATCAACTTTGAGTCCTGGCCCTTTCTAAAACACTTCCTCTCGCGCAGACTGTACGTTTACTTAAGCAGATACTCATAAAACAGCATAATGACCACAATGGCTTGAATTGAACCATAAGGCGTAGAGTTGCGCCGATCTGAGAGAAGGACGAAAAAGTTCGAAAAGGTGGGAAGACTCAATGGTGATTTCACACTTCGTCAATGTCACGTTCACAGCAAGTAGGTTCAAATAGGTTCACGTGTGTATATTGGGAAAACTTACCCACAAATGCAAACTGTCGAGTATATACCGCTAACGGGTGTCTCGCTTCGGCTCCATTTTCGACTGCCGACAGAACGCCGAGGTCGCAAGCAGTCCCATATTTACTGGCGTTAACTGTTGGGGATAAGGCAACAAACTAATTTCCGTTTGTCTTTGACAAAAGCACTGACAGTTTAAACTACAGTGAAAACGGGTTGCGATTTGGCTGTGCCTGTAGTCAATTTTGCTAAATGAACGAGCATATCCGGCTAGTTCCAAAGTAAAATACAGTTATACGTGTATTTCTTAAAATGTTGCTTTTGAAAATCCTTTTCTGACTACTACTAATTCAGTAGACCACCTTTCTCTTCAGTCCAAATTATTTTTTTAGCCGTTTTTGCAAAATTATTTGTTCCGTTTTTGAAAATGTCAAATAATATTTCCTTTATTCTGAAACTTCCCTGTGATCCTAGCTAACTTATCGCCCCGGTTTGATATAGCGTTAATACAAATTACAAATTGAACGCTGTATCCATGCGTTGTCATTTGACTCTGCACGCATAACTAACAACAGCAAAAAAAAGGAGTATCCCACCACAGAGACAATTTCACCTTCTTTGGAAGATATCCGTCTTCTTTACCTTAAATGAACCCACAGCCGCTTGTTGGACCACCTACCACACATAACCAAACAGGAGGGAGAAAAAGCTTTCCTGGGGACCTAAGCGCCTATTGGTCAGTGACAGAAGAGCCTAAGCCAATCAGATAACAGCACACGTGTTGCCGCAAGACAACCAACATGGTTGTGTGGAAGTTGAAATATTTAGGACCAAAATTATGTTGAACAGGCTGAGAGATATCAACGACGCAACGAAATGAAGGAAAATGTAATGTTGTCCGTGATGTGTACTGTACAAACAGCAACTTAGACTTCCTTTATTGTCATTGCACAAAAACACAAGGTGTCTGAACTGCTTAGCTTGTAAACCAGCAATAAACTGCAGAATTGTTTGCCAATCCTCTAGAATTTTGAGCTAAAATGTAATAATGTAACATAATTTCCCTTAGAAATTCGTCTTACAGAAATATATGGTTGGCGGACTTAAACTGGCCCTTGGGATAATCTCTGAAAAAACAGGCTTGCCTTAAACTCAATTAAAGCAAATAACCAAAGGCCCAAGTTCATCTTTGGAATTCATTGGCCTCTCAGAATTACACCACCTGATCATGTCAGGTCTGATCAGCTTTGCAAGCCTCGGAGATGTGATTTTTTTGTGCATATTTGCAAATTGTACTAAATAAAATAAGCATGCCAGGAGGATCCTCTATGTCTCTTTCTCTCTATAGATAGATATATCATTTCTGCTAAACTTTGGACATGAGCACCCAAGTACATAAACAGATCTAGAGCTGGCCATTTTTATTTAATTTGCACAGTATCAGACACTGTAAATATTTTTAATTGAAGCCATTGTTTTAGGGCCTTACATTAACATACACAAGGTTCCCCCCTCTTTTTATTGATCCCCACACAACTGATATTAGAATAATAATGCCCAACAATCTTTAAAATTTGTCACACTGACATTTAAATCATAGGGACTTATTGGCAGATTGACAGGTTGTTTTGTTGCGTTTGTATTGATCTACTACTGGTGAAGGTGTCTGTCTATATTCTGCCATTTTTGGAAACTTTGTCCAACTGATTTGATCCTGTAAATAGAATCAAATAATAAAAAAAAGGTAAACCATAGTAACGTTGAAGAGCAGTAGAGCTTACAACCTTTGTGTTAAATGTTAAAGCCCTGTAGCACGTGTCATTTTCACAGAAGCCGTGGCAGCCATGTTGAATAAAAATGGCTCCTAGACCTGCTGAAACTAAAGAATTTGAGCAAAAGAACTGGAGACAAACACAGCAAATCTCAAAACTCTGCAGCAGACGCTTTATTTTTCACATTAAAACTTACTCGAAAACCAACATACTCCACAAAAGACCAGACAAGCAAACAGGACAAATTCCCTAATCGGCTGCAAGCTAAGATCATAAAACAAATATCACAATCACATCCAAAGACACTCACACAAACTGCATTTATCTGTTAACATTCAATCTCACTTTTTTTCTGACCCATTTACATGATAACTCCTGAGGACCCATCACCAGCAGTGCACCCCTTTGGCCAGAAGCTGGGGCCACATAGGATTCAAGCCCTTAAGCGATACTTAGACCAGTACCCTTCATCTCGAAGCTTAAGGATATGCATTTCAGTTCCTGTGACTCGCGTCAGCTGCATATGCCGAGCAGCCCCGCAGCATTCTTCAGACCTGGGTGTCTGCTGACATGCATGGTCTCTGGAGAGGAGAACTTAATAAAAGTAGCACAGGTCTCCCGGGTGTGGGCCTTGGCTGCAGTCCTGGCTAGAATGTGCATGATCTTTAGCAGAGAAGTTTCACTGAGAAAGAAAGGGTGGGGGGTGGGAAGAAGCATTCAATCGTTAATGCTTTGCATTAAGCTTGACACCTTCATAGTAAAAGCTGCACACCTGCCAACGTGGATGCTGGAGGCCAGACACCAGGCAGCCTCGCCCTCGGCGGTGGGAGGCTCCTGCAGGACCTGGCGGGCCAAGCAGAGGGCGGCTCCGGCCAGCTGCACGGGCGGAAACACCGCGCACTGGCCCTCCAGGAGAGACAGCTCTAGCAGGTAACGGGCCATCCACACCATCTGACAAAGAAAATAAATAAAAAATAAAGCACAGATTACGCCTCAGACTTTAACCCGTCACGAGCCGCTGCACAGGGAGACCACGGGGGAGGATCTACCCCAGCGCTGGCGCGGGCCACCGACGCAAAGAGGAGCAGGAAATGCAGCGAGGGGCAGTAGGACAGGTCGAACTTCAGCGCGCAGAGGACTTTGCGCTCCAAACGCAGCAGCTGATTCCTTGTGTAGGCGTTGTCCATCAAGCTGCATAGTCCAGACACCTGGGACAAGCACACAAGGAAAACGTCCTTAATCGTTTTCCTCCGAGACAGAGGTTTCAATCGTCATTGGGGAAGATCAAGTTGGCGCACCTCTGGGAGGAGGGTTTCTTCTTTCTTTGCTGCAAGGAAGAGGCAGACCATACCGAGGAGCTGCAGGTTGGCTGTGGTCACCTTCAGCTGTCGCAGGGAGCGGTTCAGCAGGTGCACGGCCAGGTAGAGGGTCTCTTCTTGGAAGTGCACCAACTCCTGGTTTTAAAAATAAAAAATGTTAATCAAACTTAAACTTTTAGGGGAAAAAAGATTACAGCTTTGTTTTCACATTTAATAAATAATTTGACTCCAGCTCTGCTGTGTAAAAACACAACCATTAGTTTTATCCCACAGATTTCCGAGGGTAATGAATTTCGAGTCTATTTGATCACCACCGTTTTGCGACTCACGTGAACTTGAATGATCCAGTCTACCAGCACGGCCCGAGTGGCATCTGTGAAATTCCGAGGGAGGTCAGCATTGGAAAAAGCATTCCGTGTTTGAGTTCTCTGCGTGGTAAAAAGAAACGAGAGCAGTGCTGACTACACAGCTGAAGAAATGCGTAAGGAAAAAAAAAGAAGCAGGTCATTTTTCTGCTCTTATGGGGGTGTTCCACTAGTACAGACTCAGCTCAACTCCAAAGAGTAACAGTTCTAATACTTATCTGGCTGTTTGCGATATACCGTCCAGGCAGCTGGTGGTAGGTTCTCAGGCGGTGATTTGGGGAGTGACATGACTCATTGACAACACAGTAAACACCCAACACATGAACTAAAACTGTGGTCAAACCAGGCGGTTCAGCCAGTGTGGCGGCCCTCATTGTGACGAGGCGAGTAGAGCCGGGTGGATTCTCATGAAAACCCCCATTAGAGATCATTTAAGGAATAACTCCATCTCAGATGAGGACCACGGCCTACCATCATGTCCAGGAATAAATCCCAGGCGTAGCCTCGGTCCCAAATCAGGTCCAGTTTCTCCAGTGCCACCTCTACTGCGTGCCGCAGTAAGCTGGGGACCAGAGCCTGGAGGCTGTGAAGCCCCTGCAGCCCGTGAGGGTACAGCAGCACAGCGTTCTCCACACATTCGTCCGCTGCTCGGGATGGAAACGGAGGTCAAGAGGACGCAGAAGCACAGGCAGATAGCTTTTGTTTGCATTCTTCAAAATGACTCATCTCGTTATGTAACTGTAGCTGAGACTGTGGAACTAAAGCCTGCAGAGAAAATTAACAACAAAAAACAAACTTGCTGACAGCTACTACCGGCAGAGCATGTCTGACTGTCCTCGTGGAATCCCATGATGATGCTTTCACTGGTTTGTGTCGACAGCCTCCTCTCCTGAAAGGAACAACTCACAAGTGAGTTCCATGCTTCAGCATCCCCTTCCGGCCGCCCCGTCGGGGTAAAAGTTCTGCGTTTAATGCTCGGGCTGAGGCGACCAGCGGGGCACAAGGCATACCCATCTGCGTTCCGGTTCCACTCTGGCCGGCACAGTCTTGGGCTCCTCCACTTCTGCAGGCTGCCTGCGATCTATAGGCCCACAGGCGTTAGCCCAGGTTCTCAGTGGGGCTCTCCTCTCATCCACCTGCACAAAGCATCTGTGCTCATAATATGAAGATTACAGATTAAATACTGACCTGACCTTTTTTTCTTTCTCAAATGATTCAATTTGTCTTTAAACTGCACAAAACCTCATTAATCATGGACTCCCTGACACCCGGGACCAGGCTTGGTGAATTGGATTGCACACAGAAATGGGACAGGCTTCTCTCTGGAGCCTGTGCGCCCATGTGCACAGCCCTCAGACAAAAGCAACCAGTGTCACATCAATGAAAGCAAATAAGACATTTGCCAACTTCACTTTTAATCCCAATATCTCAATATCAAACTCTCATTGCCATTCATAATTTTTACATCAAACGAGGAATTTGGATTGCAAACATCCCTGGAAGTAAATGAGGAAGGAACTTGATCCGGACGCCGTTTAAAGGCCTTTTCTGAGTTGGCAGGGCGATGGCTGGTGTCTGCAGAGCTCACCTTCTTGTGTAAGTCCAGCAGGGGCTTGGAGTCGCACAACCCAGTCTTGGCCATGATCGCAGCCGGAGACGGAGTTTCCGAGCCGAGCCGGGCCGAGTCGAGCCGGGCCGCTGCAGCTACTTAAACACGGGCGGAGGCGGAGAGAGAAGCCATGCCGCCCGGGGAGACGCTAATAAAGACAGCTGGGCCGCTCTGATTGGGGTGTGGGGTGTGTGTGTGTTGGGGGGGGGGGGGGGGCACCTGTATCAGGGCAGACAGGTGAGGACTTCCGGTCCACATGTCGGACAGATTTCCGCACAGCGCTCTTTAAAAGAAGTCTTCCCATCCTGTTAACAGGTCTAAAGCTGCCGCACTCTACCACGGATCAGCCGTAAAATAGTGGATTAAGAAAAGCCGTACATCCATTTGACACTAAATGACTGGCCAAATGTGATAAACCTGTAGAGTCAAACTAAAGACCTGAGGCATTTAAATGTACCTCTTATTCAAATAGTTTCAGAATACCAATCAGACTTCTTTAAAGCTCTCTATATCTATTTATGCTGGATTATTTTGAACCATTTTCAATTTCTGACAACTTTATGTTCTCAAGCCCGTTTTTAATTTCATTGATATAATGTAGGGACACTATTCTCTTTGACCCCTGCCTCTTCCTGTTCAGGGGCCAAGTTATATTTGACGCCTAATAATCCATCTGACACACATTTGCTTAGGTTAGAGCGGGAAAATAGTCAGTAAAAATGTCTGAGATATGGTTCTTGTCCATTAAAATGTCAACATGGGAAGTTGTCTGCATGCAGGTGTCGGTTAATGTAAAACCAGCTCCATGAAAGACACACGCACACACACAAGGTTTATTCAGTAAAAATGTTTACTGGCACATTATAGTTGCAAACGTTAGCTACCATTCTGTAGCAGGTATCACCCGTTACATTGTAGAGTCTGGCAAAGGAGAGGCTTAAATGTCTGCTGGGACACATTCCTCTCCTTTTAAGATTGCTTTATTTTTTTTCATTGCCCCTTGCGCCTCAACTAATTAGCAACAAGCAAATAATAATAATAATTAAAAAAATCTCTGTAACTCCAGCATCAGGTATGACATTCCTGACTGTTGATCACATTCAAATATACAGAGAAGCAAGGTAACCATAGTAAAGCTGCAAATCAAACACTAGAAAGCTGTTGCCTCCCTTTCTACTAATGCTGCATTCTCCATCAAGCTTCTTTGTTTTCTCCCTTTTTTTTTGTATTTACATGAAAATATAACGAAGAGGCACTTCTTGTGCCAGTGTATGCCTACAGGAGAGGTCAGGGGTATGAACTTGCATGTTTAGCTGTGAAGCATTGCTTAAAGCGTGGCCAGCAGCGAGGTTCAGTGTATGGCTTCACAACCAAATTCCAAAAAAGAAAAAGAAAAGGAAAGAAAAAAGAAAAAAAGGGTCCGGCAGCACCCCCTTGTGGCCATGATAGCAATGAAGGCAGATCCACAGTGGAGTCCATCAGTGCAATGGTTGGGGCCGTTTCCAAAGCAAGCCTCTCCTAGAGAGAGGGTGAGAGTGATGGTTGTGCCTGAGCCAGTGAGAAGAGGTGCTGGAGTTGTGAGGTGGGAATCAAAGCCGGGAAGCCGAGGCCACCTCGTGCTCAGTGCGGAGTCAGAAACCTGCCGCTCGTCTATGTTCAAATCACCACAAACATCTCGCAGGCACGCTGTCACACACACAAATTTGGAAAAGAAAAAAAAACAAAATCTGACAAGAGGGATATGCCACGAGATTGCTGATTTGATTCGCTTCATTTTTTTAAGCGAATAACACTCCTTAAATATTCTTCTAAAATATGTGAATTGGGATTCTGGATGGATTTTTCTTTTTTGGCGCAACTACAAAAGCAATCCTTGCGTGGGATCCCCCTTTAAATGAAGAACTTAAAGCAATGACAAAACAAAAACATGAAGGAAGCAGTTGAAAAAAACTTTTTAATATATAGATTTGATATAATGTATACTTAAAACAAGAAGTCTTCCAAAATTTGAGAAATAGATGGACAAAAAAAAGAGGGTGGAAATTCAACAAACCAAAAAAAAAAAAGAAAAGAAAAAAGAAGGCGTACAGGATGGTTTGATGTTCCCCTAGTTAAACTAACATCTTTTCCAACCTTACGGAACAGAAAACGCTTCAGTCCGCATCAATTTGAACACTTATTCAATACACTTTTCATGGCTTCACTCCACCACGACTCTTTGTATGCATGTTTGCATTCCCAACTTATCACAACGGCCGACGCTTTTGTTGAGTTTCTGCCTTCAGTTGTTTAGCAGCTTCAGACATACCTCTGCATACATTTGAGCGCTTTGACAAATCTTTTAAGAAAATACAAATCAGACTCTTACAATCATGCGGAATCATATAAGTGACAAAATCTCCAAAAGAGTCTTATTTTTTGTCCTTTTAGACTCTTTCCAACCACTAAACTCTCATTCGTTAAATATGGGGGGAGGGGCGCGCGCAATCATAAGCTTTTCTTGAACATATTTTTTTTTAAATTCATTATTTAAAAGAAAAAGAACAAAAGGTTATTGCCTATCAGGTAGGGAGTGAGATCTACTGGACAGAGGACAGCGAATAGCTGTGCCTATCGCACTGGCATCTCGGGACAGATTGATTGGTGGTGGGTAAAAGAAAAGGAAAAAAAAAAGATTAAAATTCTTGTGTCCACCTTCCTCTTTCCTTCTGTTTTTGCTCCTTTTTGACACATGATGAGAATGTCTCAGACCTCCTACACATCTAACCGGCGGGCTTTCAACACAGCGACCTGAGCTTTAAGAGCACGACGGCTGCATCACGGCGAGTTAAACCGATGCAGCGTCAACAGTGGGGAAAACAAAAAAAAGCCAGGCGACAGGACAGATCTTTATTTGAAATCCTGACTCGCTCAATTTAGCGGCAAACTGGTTACAGCGATCCTAAATTACACGCCTGCTTGGACGAAAATTAAAAAAGAAAATAAAGTTGATTATTTTTTTTAAAAATAGCCCATTGAGTGTGCTGTGTAGTGTCCTCCATTGTTGAAATTCCAGCAAGGTTTCACCGTTTTAAAAACATGCATAAAAACAGACACAAATGGATGGCTAATAATCAAAATGGTTGTTCATTCATTCCGACACACTTTTGCACGCACGCATACATTCATATCCTCGTCTACTCGCATATACACTGGTGCAGTGCAAACACAGTAATGGCAACTCTCCTCGCCTTATCCCTCGTCCTCGCGTCCCCACTTTTTGTAGGAAAATCCCACTCTTGATTTGTAACAGCAAGTTCCAAAAAGAGCACTTGTAATTCTTTTTTTTTTAACCCCCCCCCCAAAAAAAGAAAGCTGAAATATGGCTTTACATTTAAAACCGTAACAACTGATGTCATAAAAATTTGTCCTTTTTTTTTAACCCCGCCCCCCTTCCAAAATATTTTAAATTCTGATTATACTTCTCTAAATTCTATTGTGTGTTTGTTGTGTTTCTGCGGTCGGTCTGTGCACAGATTGTTTGGTGTTTTGAGTGTCGTTGTGCGTGTGTGTGCATGTGTGTGTGCATGTGTGTGTGTTGAGCGTGGGTGCAGCTGGTACAGAGGTGGTACTTGCTGGCATAACCTGTTTGTGTTTTTCTTTTTCCAAAGTGTAAAGGCTCTGATGTGGTGCCCAGTGTAGTGCAGCAGAGGTCCAGCAGGGAAGCCTAAAGTCACCCCTGAGAGGACGTTGGGAGACAAAGCTGCCAGTCTTGTCCACGCAAACCCGCCGAGATCAGTCTTTCGGGGTTCGCGTGTTCATTTTCCTATTCTATGATCCGTGACCTGTCTGATTTGTCTGAGTTGATTTGATTTCCCGTGTGTGTGTGTGTGTGTTGAAGACTGAATGAAAATGTGTCTTGTGCCGCTTTTTTTGTTGTTGTTTCTTTGTTGTTTTGTTTCGTTTGTGGCGTTCAAATTCCTCAGCAGTGCAAGTGTGTATGTGGGGATTGTGATCGTGTGCCAGCCTGCCTGCTTGTTCGTTAGTCTGAGTGATCATTCCCGTATGCTGGCTGAGTAGGAGAACTGAGGGAAGTGTGTGCGCTGATTGGAGTCCTCCGCATCTAAACTGTCATCTGGAGAGAACGAAACAGGGAGAGACACAGACACAATGCAGAGGATGAAAACAGATGTAAAAGCGCATCGTTCCCCAGGAAATGGGGGGGGGGGCTGCACTTACACTTGTCTGGAGGAGTTAATGTGATAGTTTCGGCTGTGAACTCGTCATCAAAGTAGCGGGTGTCTGTCTCCGATGTCACCTGGGGCTTGAAGGGCGGGGGGAGCTGACAGGATGGAGGAAATTCATAATTTCACCCACTGGACATATTTAAAAAGCCACGTCGTTTTCTGTCTCGGCCTCTCACCTTTTTGTCAATCACATCCTGCCAGTTGATGGGGGTGAAAAACTTGTGGGTCATCACGTCTTTGGCATCGTCTGGTCCGCCTCCGAGCCTGCAAAACAGCTCAGGATTACAACCGACTGGAACCAGAGTCGTCAGGAAAAACAGGCAGAAATCTCCGTTTAAGTGGTCATCTGCTCCCTTCGTGTCCTACGTCTTCTTGTCAGATGTGCTGTTAATTTCCTTTTACCTGCGGCTACGTGTGTTTGTCAGCCTGCAGGCAGAGCTCGACGTGCTAATATTAGCACATCTACAATTACCAGAGATGCTGGGCCCGCGACCAAAACAACAATCAATTACGTCTCTATTGGAGGCCATTACCTCCAACCAAAACTAATCAAGAAGGAACAGAGGCTACAATAACATGGTTACCGTTTTATATAGCTGAATATGAGGGAGCCTCCGAGCACAGCTAAGAACGATGAAATGAATTGAACGCAACAATCACTGCAGCCCCAGAGTGCAGTACTTCCTCTGGTTGTTGCCAACATCTACCTCAGAAACCTGATTTGTTTTCTCTTGTCTTCTCAGAATTCTTGTTTCTTTTAAACAAGTCTGTGTACTGAAAAATACTTTTGGAGAAAAACCATGTTTA